GGTGGAGGGGCAGAGGGAGAGGGAGAAGCAGGCTCCCGCTGAGCAGGGAGCCAGGCATGGGGCTTGATCCCAGGACCCTGGGACCATGATCCAAGCCAAAGGCAGATGCTTAATGACTGAGCCACCCAGGAGTCCCTAAGGATTTATTTATTTATTTGGGGGGTAGTGTGGGGAGAGGGAGAGAGAGAAAAAAAATAATAGCAGTCTTTTCTGCTAATTCCAATATCTAGAAATTTTTAGAGACAGTTTTTATTGACTGATTGTTTTTCCCCATGTATGGATCATTATTTTGCCCCCTCTTTGCGTCTGCTGAGTGCAGAGCCAGTCCAGCACCCCTAAAAACTGGCTCTTTTGGATACTGTACTGTAGCAAGTGCATTCTGATTCCCCTAGGATCTGTTATTCTGGTGTATGTTGGTTTAGTGACTTGGTCAGACTAATTTTCTTTTTTCAAATTTTTAAAAAAGATTTTATTTATTTATTTGACAGAGATCACAAGTAGGCAGAGAGGCAGGCAGAGAGAGGTGGCGGGGGTGGGGAGAAGCAGGCTCCCTGCTGAGCAGAGAGCCCGATGCCGGACTTCATCCCAGAACCCTGAGATCATGACCGGAGCCGAAGGCAGACACTCAACCAACTGAGCCACCCAGGTGCCCCAGACTAATGTTCTAGAGTCTTGCTCCGCACACAATGTGCAGCTCCCGCGATATCTGCTTAGCTTTTGTCTTTCATATCCCTTACTTTTACTTTTCATCCTGGCTTCCTAGAGGTCTGGGTCATCCCAGTTTATTGGTCAGTCGGTGGTCGGTCAGAGAACACACTGCAACCCTTGAGGCCGTGAGGCTTCCAGCCTTTGGCAACTCTTGCTTTCTATGTGGGCACGGCCCCATGCTGTGCTAGGGATAGGTCAGCAGCTTGGGCCCTCTGTGACCTCTTCTAAATGAGGGTAACTCGTGTGTTCACGCAGTTTTCCAGACCTGGCAGGGGTGCGTGAGAGTTCATCAAGGCACACTTTGGCCGACCCCTTCCCTAGATCATCTTGCTGTATTTCTGCCTGCTTGCCACTTACCATGATCGTCGCTGGTCACCACTGCTTTTGGTGACACCTAGAGGGTGGGGTGGTTATATGCTTGATCCAAGTCAAATGAGTCCCCTTGGACAACAGAGCTGCTGGGCTTCAGGAGGGGGCTGGGAGCTCCCCTGGCCCAGATCTTCTTACCTGGTGTCCAGGAGTTCTTGCTGAATGAATGCTTTCCAATGTGTTGTGTGCTTTTGGCCAATAGGAAGAATCCCAAAATAATTGTTTTTTTATAGTTAGATGCGATTTTACCATTGCCTTTTGGGACATGGCTGTGCTGAGCTCTTTCTTCAGCCAGTTTAATAGCCGTCCCTTCTTCTGTTTGCTAACAGTTTATTTAGGATTTTTGCACTCATAATCACAGGTGATACTAATCTGCAATTTTCTGATTTGCTTTATCAGGTTGAGCTACCAAAGTTAGATGTTATAAAAAGAATTAGAAATATGTTTTTATTTTTCTATGCTTCGGAACAATTTGTGTCGCTCTGGTCTTTGAAAGGTTGGTAAAAATTCGCTGCGGAAATCATGTGGTCCTGCTGCTTTGGGAAGGTGACCCTGTTGTGATTTTTTTTATCCTGTGGTAATTTATATGTGTAAGGTTTCCTATTTCAGTCACTTTTGGTATACTTTATTTTCCTAGGAAATGATCCTTTTCATTTAGATTTTAAACTTTGTGTAGAAATTGGTGGAGAACTCTCATTTCTTTTAATTTCCTGTGCTTCAGTGATCATTTCCTCCTTTTCAGTTCTTATTTTTTTGTTTGTTTTTTTTTTAAAGATTTTATTTGTTTATTTGACAGAGAGATATATCACAAGTAGGCAGAGAGGCAGGCAGAGAGAGGGGGGAAGCAGGCTCCCCGCTGAGCGGAGAGCCTGATGTGGGGCTCGATCCCAGGACCCCGGGGTCATGACCTGAGCTGAAGGCAGAGGCTTCACCCACTGAGCCGCCAGGGCACCCTTCAGTTCTTATTTTGTAGATTTGTGCTAACCCCCACCCACTGATTAGATTGGCTAGTTGGTTGCCTTTTGGTTATTTTTCTCCCCCCAGAAAACAAATATCTTGATTTTTTAAAGATTTGATTGTTAAGCAATCTCTGTACCTAGCGTGGGGCCTGAACTCACAACCCTAAGATCAAGAGTCCCACGCTCCATGGGCTGAGCCAGCCGGGCGCCCCATAGAGTCTATTTTTTCCTAAAATTAAGTCTACTCTTTCTCTGCACTGTACCATTGTCTGCTTTTATCTTTATTCTGTAATATCTTTTGGTTTTCTCTGTACTTTCTCTAGGTTTGAACCAGCTATTTATTTATTTTCATTCTGTCATTTTATCAGTATCACCATTGTAGGACAATTTACCATCCAGGTGGTTGGTGAGCCCTTTCAGTATGTAGCGTCCACAATTATTTGTGGACTTTTTCTTGCATTACAGTGTTTAATATTAGTACTACACCACTGTTTGGTTTTCCTTCTTTGAGGAATCCAATAATAAATACGTCTATTGCATCTTCTTTGCCTGGCTCCTATTTCAACCATTTTTTCTGTGACTCTTTTTCTCTCTCTTTTATTTTCTTCGTCATTTTCTGGCATTGATTCAATGGCACTTATTTAATTTTCAGTTGAACCTCTTTTTCCCCGGGAATCATGTAACTAAGGCTTCATTTCTGAGCCTGGTTTTATCTTTCTCTTCACTTTTTTCCCTAAGTACAGTCATTCAGTTCTTATTTCATTTATGTCCATTTTTTCAACCATTTCTGTCCTTTGTTTTAAGGATTTATTTACTTCTCTGAGAGAGAGAGCACGAGTAGGGAAGCAGCAGAGGGAGAGGAAGAAGCAGGGAGCCCCATGCGGGGCTCGATCTGAGAAGCCTGAAATACTGACCTGAGCCAAAATCGAGAGTTGGCCGCTTAACCAACTGAGCCACCCAGGTGCCCCGTTCTTTTTGTTTTAAAGCAAAGTGTTGGAAATAAAATTGATATCTAATAATAGAGGAATACTCAAATTATGACCCATATGTAGAATGAAACACAATGCCAGTGAGCAAAAGAATGAAGAAGCTCTTGATTGTGTTTCTCTGCCCTGATATACAAGATATTAAGTGAAAAAATCAGGTTGCAGAACAGGGAGTATAATATACTACCATTTGTGTTAAAAAGGAATATATAAAGAGATAAAGATATATGTGTATACACATGGTCCCTGCCTTATGATGGTTTGATTTAGGATTTTTTTAAAGATTTATTCATTTATTTGAGAGAGAGAGAGAAAGTGCATGTATGTGCATGAGCAGGGGGAGCAGCACAGGCAGAGGGAGAGAGTGGGGGCAGGGATGGGTGAGGTGGGCATCGATCCCAGGACCCTGAGTTCAGGACCTGAGCTGAAATTAGGAGTCGGACACTTAACTAACTGAGCCCCCCAGACAACCCCCAATTTATTTATTTATTTTATTTTATTACAAGATAGGCTTCTGTCTTAGCTGATACTGCCCACCTATAGGTGAATGTTAGTGTTCTGAGCACGTTCAAGGCAGGCTAGGCTAAGCTATAATGTTTGGTCATAAAGACATTCTTCATTTAGAATATCTTTGATTTAGGGTGGCTTTATCAGGACATCACCGACAAAAGAAGTCTGTACATGATACATAGTGTCCATCACATCTTCTGAGCTGGGAATTATTCTCTCACTTTAAGAGGATGTTGACTTGGAATGCCTGGGTGGCTCAGTTGGTTAAGCAGCTGCCTTCGGCTCAGGTCATGATCCCAGCGTCCTGGGATCGAGTCCCGCATCGGGCTCCTTGCTCGTCAGGGAACCTGCTTCTCCCTCTGCCTCTGCCTGCCATTCTGTCTGCCTGTGCTTGCACTCTCTCCCTTTCTCTCTCTGACAAATAAATAAATAAAATCTTAAAAAAAAAAAAAGAGGATGTTGACTCTTGGGGCACCTGGGTGGCTCAGTTAAGCATCCCATTCCTGGTTTCAGCTCAGGTTATGATGGCAGGGTCATAAGATCGAGCCCACGTGCTGGGCGTGGAGCCTAAGATTCTCCCTCTCCCTCTGCCGCCCCAAAACATGATGTTGACTCTTCAGTATATTTGCCCAAGGCAACCTGACTTTCTGTGTCTCTGGGTTCTTGAGGAAGAGCTCCATGGTAGCCACGTGCTGAGAGCAAGTACCGGACTTTCCTCATGATTCTGTGAAGACTGGATACAAGACTAGGGTTTTGTAGTTAAACTGGTCTTAACACTTGCAATGGAGACGCATCTACTCCTAGGGTTTTGACTGCCATCTCTAAGCTGCTAATTCCCAAAAACCATGTCTCATTTGAGTCGAGGTCCACTTACCCTACCGCTCTGCCTTTTGGACATGTCCAACCCTTATTCTGGCCACACCGTTCCGTTCGTCACATCCCTCCGACAAGCTTCTAGTCCTGGATTAGCCCTACTTTCCTCTCTCTCCGTGCCTGTGCCTGAGCGGCTGCTGTTGCTCCAGAAAGCTGTGGTCATGGGCCTCCAGCGCGCTACGTGCTGCTCTGGGTGCCGTCCCTTGTCTGCTCATCACCCTGGGTCTGTTAGACCTTCTCCCTTCTGACCTCCGGCTCTCCTCTCTCCTCTCTCCTCTTGACGCTCAGGACATTCCTGTGGTACGTGCCACGGGCATGTGCTAAGTGTTTGCCGTGTGTCCTCCTAATTCACAGAGAGACCTGAAGCCGTGATACAGAGTCTTCCAGATCCGGTCTGGTCTCCGTCTGTCGGGGACCATGTCCCGATGCGCAACCAGACGGGATCAGATGGAGGAGCAAGGCCACGCGCACAAACGTGTCCGCTTCTCTTCCTCCCCGGAGCTGAGCAGAGGGCCCTGCGGTGTGCAGGGCCATGGAACCTGGTCACAGCGGACACTGTCGTGCGTTTCTCACCACCCTGGCTTGTTTCTTGCAGCTGACGTAGAAGGCCAGTCGTTAAGGCACCGAGACAAGCGGCTTAGTTTAAACTTGGTAAGTTTGGCACTTGAGTTCCTTTAAGCCTCAGCCTTACCACAGGTGGCCTGACCAACATGTGCTCCCTCAGAGTCTTTTGAGACTCAGCACTGAGCCTCTGGGGACCCTTCAGTGTCCCCTAAGGCTTGCATTGTCTGGGAACTACTGGACTTCTAGTGTTCTGTAAGGACACTGCCAGTTCGAGCTGTCCAGGCCCTTGTCGGACTCGTCAGGACCTACGGCATCTCCTCCGACCTTGAGCATCTGCACGCGCTCCCCACCCGCCGTGTTCTAGCATCACCCTCGGGAGCGCACCTCAGCCATTGCCGTGACGGTTCTGTGCCTGTTCTCTTGCAGCCGTGTGGCTTCTCCCCCGTGTGCCCCACGGCTCCAGTTGGGGCCGAGGACAGCTACGTGCCCATGGGCCCCCAGGCGGCCGGCTCCAGTCTTCAAACCCCCTGCGGCCACGATGACTACATCCCGATGAGCCCAGGAAGCCTCTCGAGCCCACTGCCAGAGCTGCCGGTGGACCTGGAGCCTCCCCCAGTAAACAGAGATCTCAAGCCTCAGAGGAAACGTAAGCCACCTGACCAGGTGCGCCGTGCGGGAGCTGGGGGACGGGTCCTTGAGGCCACGTGGAAAAGTGTCCTTCTTGACCGTCTCTGGGAAGGAAGCACTAGAGGAAGCATCTTACAGGGCTGGGAAGTGTAAGGGCACGGAGCAGTGGCCGGGACTGAAAGGTAAGGGCTGGGAAAGCTTGCCACCCTGGACGCTGAGAAGGAGGTGTGGGACTTAAGGCACTGTGGCCCTGCAAACAGCCTGCAAAGCCAAGATCATTCCAGAGGCTCAGAATAGAGGCCCCAGAACTAAGTGACATTGATGAAACCCACCTGAAATGTCTTTGTTTAAACAGACTGGAATGTAATCACAGTGAGGTTAGGGTTAGTCAAGAATGACTTTGAACACGGATTCCTGAGTAGGAGACCTGGTTGTAGACAACTTCCCACTCACAGCCCTGCACGTGCCCAGCTGCAGAGGTGTCTGGGGGTGATGAGCAGTCTGGATCCTCTGGACCCAGAGCTCCTCGAAGCTTCTGCATTGTTCCCACACAGCTTCTCTGGTCTGCAAACAGCGCAGACAGAGAGGGAGCAAGGAGAAGAGGGAAAGAAAAGCAGGTCAGAGTAACTTGCTAACTTCATTTGTGCCCCTTGCCGCTTGCCCGGTACACGTCTGTGATTCGCGGGAGCTCTTCGGCACAATGACTGCGATCTCTGGTCGGTTCCCACCTCTGTTCACGCTTTGGAAAATCTGCTGCTTCACGCGGCCTTGCCCCAGATTGGGAACCAGGGCCCTGCCCAGGCCGGGCCGTTCTAGTCCCCCCACCTTCAGTTCGAGTCAGCGCTCATTTGCAGCATGTCTGCTGTGTGTGCTGCTGGGCTGGGCACCGGGTGGGACAGAAAGAGGAGAAAGCAGGTTCTTCAGTGGGAGGTGGAGGAAGACGGGTAAAAAGCAGCTGGAAGAAGGAGGATGATCAAGTTGGTACCAAATAAGAGAATGAGCCCTGTCTGAGGCGGTTCAGAGAGAACAGTCCCTCATTCTGCTCAGGAGTAACTTCACTGGGACTTGTGACTTTGAGGTCACTCTTTATTTTGCTCAGTTAATTTTCTCTAGCAATGCTGTCCAACAGAACTTCCTGTGATGATAGTAGGAATGTGGCTCCTGGACACTTGTAGTGTGGCTAGTACAACTGAAAAACAATTTTTTTGACTATATGCCCCATGCTGTACCTTTCATGCTCATGACTGAAATTTCCATTTTATTTAATGTGAAGAGATATAAATTGAAAATAGCCATGTGTAGCTAGTGGCTGCGTCGGCCAGTGCAGCTCTGTGAGACCTGGCACTCAGAGGCATGAGCGTGTTGGATGGACCCAGGGCTGGGGATTCACTGGGTGGGTGTGAAGGGGGACACCTGGGCCAGGAGGGTGGGCGCTGACAGGGGTGGCTACAGGGATGGAGCCTGGGGCCCAACGGGAGAGGGCAGGTAGAGAAGCCACAAGTTGGCTGGTCGGTGAGGCCGATGCCAGACTGTCCTGCCACCAGGAGAGACTTTCTCCCCAGGGACTGTGTGACTCACATGGCCTTTCTAGCTCAGTACCTCCCCCAGCTCAGAGGCTCCCAGGAAACTGACTGAGCAGTGAGAGTCACTGTCCGAGGCTCTGATGGTGTAGAAGAGACTCAAATAGTCTCTACCCATGTGGTCTAGTAGAGGGAACAAAAGGAACCTGGTCAGGGCCCTGGTAGAGGGACACAGGCATGACCAACTCAATGAGGTGGACCACTGAGGTATGGAGTAAGGGTCAGGTGCCAAGAACTGCTCTCCATGCCAAGGCTACCGCCAGGAATGAGCCAAACAAATCCCCGTCCTCCCACAGCACAGTCTAGACCAGAATCAGATCATCGCGGTTGAATATATCATTGCCAACTGCAAGGAGCACCATGAAGGGTAGATGTAAGAACTCACGAGAGCCCGCACTGTGGGGCCTGACCTTGTCTGGAGGTCAGAGAAGGCCTTCCTAGACAAGAGACCTTGAGCTGAGATCTGAAGATGACCAACCAGGCAGAGAGATGGGGAAGAATGTTCTGGTCTTCCCCCTTACACTTCATTGTCCATCTTGTACATGCCAGTCTCACACTGTCCCTTCCAACACCCAGAACCATGCCTGGTACACAGTGAGTTTCCAAATGCCTGTTGACTCAGTGTATCGCCATTGGTGCGTCAGGCAGGTAAGGTGACCAGTGCAGTAGGGAAGGGTGGGTCAGTGAGTTTGCAGCCATCATCAGTGCGCTTGCTCGTCGATTTGGACTCGACGTGCTAGTAAGTAAGTCGAATGTCATAATTTTCATCTTGAACTCCCAAGAACTCACCACCCTGGGTATCGTGGATTGTCTTATAGCACGGCCTCCTCCCCTGGACCTGAGAAACCTCTCCACCATCCGGGAACACACGTGTGTAACCAGGACCTGCACCGTCCCTTGGTACGTCTTTGCTCACAGGGCCCTCATCTGGCAGGGGCACTCCTGGGTTTAGTTCAGACTCTGAGGAGATGTAGCTGGAGTCAAAGGAGGGGTGGGGTTTGTTATCATGAGCCAGAAATACCTTGTAGATCACGAAGGAAAAGGTGTAACTGGATGTCCCAGGATGCTGGAGTCAGGAACGAGCTGTTGGGAACCCAGGGAACTCTCCACCTCCCACATCGGCTTCTGTCTTCACGTGTACCGTAGATCCCGAGCTTACGTACATGCCCCAGGCCCAGTACCAGCAGAGACAGGCTCTTTCTCAACCCCAACTCGCATTTCCTGGGAGAGGGAATTGGTCTGCCCCAGCCTGAGCAGAGTCACCTGTGGCCCAGGGGGACAGGCCAGGAGGGCCAACATGGCTTCCAGAAGCCCAGGCGTGTGAGCAGAGTAGGAGAAGGGAGTTCTCAGAAAGAGGGACGCTGCATGGACTTGGCAGACAGGCCCCCAGATGTGTCTGCACTCTCATCTCATCCTTTAGAAGTTGTGCTTTCAGAGTCTTGGGCCTGGCCCCAGAGTTTCCGGCTTCTCTCCATGCCACAGGATACAGTCACTTTGCAAAGTGGACCTCTGCAAAGAGCTCTGTTTCCAGCCGTGACTGCAGAGAGATGCGGCCTGTGCTTCTGACTTGGGAGGAGGGTGAAATGGATTTGCCATCTTGTTCTCATCCTGCCAGAGGAATGGCCACACCTCGTTACGTTTGCCAGTTACTTTGAATGGAAACAAGAGAGCCCCAAAGGAGCATTGTGTGTGTGTGTGTGTGTGTGTGTGTGTGCATGTGCATGTTTTCCTAGATGATATGAGGCCTTGGTCTGTTTCTAGAAAGCTTGTGAGCTGTGTCACATGGAGGGTCTGGAAAGAAGTAGCCCTTGAGAATTGGGAGCCCTTTGCCCCAGAACGGGGCAGAAGCTGGGCAGGCACTACAGCCTCGGGAAGTGCTCTGGCCAGAAGGAAACTGTATCTGGAAGGGGAGGGCTGAAGAGCCCATGGAGACCGTGTCACTTCCTGGCTGGCTTTCAGAGCAGCTGTAAGACATTGCTTTGACCTCATCTGTGTTTTTGTTCTCAGCAATCGAACCAGATTTCTCTCTCCAGAAAGAAACGGTATTAATTCTGCAAGATTTTTTGCCAATTCCGTTTCCAGAGAAGAGGAAGAAAGCTACATCCACATGGTAATCATCTTTTTCACACTCTCATGTGCTTCACCCCAGTGTGCCTTCTGTGAGCTCTTCGTGGAGGATGTGTGTGCCCCCGAAAGCCCCCTGCAGTCTGGAAACATTCACCTGAACGTGCTGCCAGGTTACCCGCAACTAACCGATTCGAAGCTGCTTTTCTCTCCTGTGTTCTGAGGCGGGAACCCCAGGGTCGAGGCGGGTGGAATGGGGGACAGGAAATGTCAGCCGTTCTTTCCACCAGGGCCGTGCTGTCCTGTTTGATCGCAGTGAGTCTGCGGCTCTGTGGCTGTCCAGCGCAAACGCACGTATCCTGGGTGCCCTTCTGCCGGACCACCTGGTGGCCCTGCCCCCATTGCTAATGAGCCTTCCCGGGGGAGGAGTCACTTGGGGTCCCAGTGGCGGGGAGTGCAAGGTCCCAGGCTGTGAATGTGACTCAGTGTCTGGAGACTTGGGTTACTGGGTCTTTCTGTAGGTCTGGGCAAATAGAGACCTGGCATCTCCATCCTTCAGCTAAGTAATTAATCTCCCCCTCCCGCCCTCTGCTCTTCCCTCCATTCCCTTTACCTCGGAGCAACTTAATTGTAGGGAACTCCAGGGAAAATCTTTGTTTGACCGATGAGGTTTTGAAAAGAGATCGTAGAAGACCGATATTCAAGGCACTGTGGCTGTATGCACTTTTGAAAAGACAGTTCTGGCCCTCCTGTGCATGAGCTTAGTAGGCAAGTGAAAATCTAAACAAGGTCATGTCCAGTGAAGCAGTAATTAAATGCTTCATGTTGCCTTTCTCGTTGATGAAAATTAGGCTGTAAGTTCCCTTAACTATATGCAGATGGAAAGTGACTCATATACAAATCTGCTCTGGTCTTCCCAGTGTTTTTCACACTTAGTCATGGCCCTTGGGAAACTTGTAGAAGAAAACACTCTTATAAAGGATACTGCCCAGCTGTGCTCTGTCTCCAGAGAACAGAAAAGGGAAGTGAACCTATAACCTGATAGAAGCAAGTGCGGAGTCATTCCAGACGCTCGCAGTTCATCCCTGACCTTTGAGGTTATGAGAAAGACTGGTGTTTCATTAACAGCATAGTTACGGTTTGGTTTCTGGCCAAGGTTGATAGTCATGAGTTAACGACTGTCTGGGCATTACTAGGCATATGACAGGGCAGACTGGAGCTCGGAACACTGGCTGAAGGCAGGTGTCTGTGGGGAAAGCACCATCTTTGAGTTACCTCCTTTCACTCGTTCACACAACAAGCCGCATGACTCATAGGGTTTGATTTGATTTTGCATATAATCGTGTGTGTTAATGTTTTTCTCTCTGACAACAAGGTCTGATCTGAATGTAAAAATTGAGGCCAGGGACTGAGATGCAAGTTTTGTTCTATTAAAGTTATGCATCCTCTTTCACTTTCTTTCGCTGTTTGTGAAATTACAGAAAATTTAGAAGAATAAAAATTTTAACTTCTGTGATCTCTTTTCTACAGTATTTCCACATTCTGTAATTTCAGTCATTTTGTAAGATTTTGATAGTAGAATTCTAGACTCGGAATCTCACCTTAAGTGGTTTGTTATGACATTATAATACTTTTTAGCTTTTAGATTATCTTACAGTGAAACAGACTTTCTGTTGGTGTGCGGGTCTGTGCATTTTAACATGGATATAGGCTCACGTGCCCACCAGCACAGTCAGGACACGGCACAACTTCAAGGCTGTCCTCCGAGCTCCGTCTCCGTAGTCACACCCTCCCACAACCTGAATCCCTGGCCCTCACGGACGCGTTCTCCATCGCTACACTTGTATCACAGAGTCTGCCGTCTTGTGAGACTGGTTTCTTTCACTCAGTGCAACGTCTCGGGGGTTCCCCCAAGTTGTAACGCTCGTCAGTCGTTCTTTCTGTTTTACTGCCGAGCACTGTTCGAGTGTGTGGGTGTGCCATGGTTTGTCTCCTTACCCACTGGAGGACATTTGGGTTGCTTTGGGTGTTAAGTCTTCCAATCCGTACACATACATGGAAATGTCTTTGCTTTCTTGCGGCGTTTTGAAGTTGTCATTACAAGTCTTTGGTTAAATTTATTCCCAAATTCTTCATTGTTTTTAATATTGTTGTAAATGGTACCGTTTTCTTTTTTTTTTTTAAGATTATTTATTTATTTGACGGAGAGAGCGAGGCACAGGTAGGCAGAGCAGCAGGCGGAGGGAGAGGGAGAAGCAGGCTCCCTGCTCAGCAGGGTTGCGGGACTCGATCCCGGGATTCCAGGATCATGACCTGAGCCAAGCCTGCCAGGCGCCGTGATAGCATTTTCTTGATTTCCTCTTCTCAGGTGGTTCAGTTAGTGTATAGAAATAAAACTGAATTTTGGGTGTGATTTTTGTATCCTACAACCTTGTTGAGTTTAATTTTTGTTTGTTATTCTTTTCTTTTGCGTGGAATCTTTAGTTTTCCACATATAAGACCATGTTGTCAACAAACAGATTATTTTGCTTATTCTTTCCCAATTTGGCTGCCTTTTTACTTTTTTCTTGCCTAACTGCTCCATATAGCTGAAACTTCCAATACTTTGTTGAGTAGAAATTGCAGAAGCGGGCCACCTTGCCTTGTTCCTGATCTTGAGGGCCTTTTACAGATTCTGTGTAGGCATCCATTGGCATTCCCCAAGTTTTCATTTCGCTAGAGCAGTGGTTCTCTACCAGGGGTTGATTTCACCCCCTAAGGGACACTTGGCAATGTCTGGAGACGTTTTTGGTTGCAAGAAGCTCGCCCAGGGGCGTGTGGTTCAGGGAGACTGCTGCACGCCCTCCAGTGCAGAGGACAACTCCCCACGACAAAGAATGATCTGACCCCAAAAGTCAAGAATGCCATTGTTGAAGCCTCCTGCTCTAGGATAAGGACCTAGAAGTGAGATTGCTGGGTCATCAGCTGGGTTTAACAGGGTCATCTGTTGTGGGTTTGACTCTGAGAGGTACTGCCCAAGCCTTGCTGTCATGGTCATGGCCACACAAGCTGTCAGCTGTTTGTGAGAGCGCCGGCCATGCCTCGGGAGTGTCCTTGGTCCACAGTTTTCTTGTTTGTTTTTAACCTAGACCTTCTAATGTGTAGATAGTGGTATCTCATTGTTGTTTTAACACCTATTTCCCTAACGGCACATGGGGTCAGACTTAATTTTGTGTGTCTATCAGGCATTTGTGTGTCTTCTTTGGTGGAGTATCTATCTGTTGGAACCTTTTGCCCGAGTTTCAGTTGGGCTGTTTGTTTTCTTACAGTGGGTTTTGAGAGCTCTTTATGTATTCTATGTACGAGTCACCCAATGGGTATGTGACTGGCACAAATTTTCTTTTGCATCTGGAACTTGCCTTTTAATTCTCTTCTTTCTTTTGCAGAGCAAAGGTTTTTAATTTGGTTAAGCCAAATTTATTTGTTTTTACTCAAATACCAGTAGAGTCAACATACAGTGCAGTACCAGTTTTCAGTGTGCGATGTAGTGACTCAGGACTTCTGCACAACACCCGCCGCTGGTCACCGCAAGTGCCCTCCTTCATGCCCATCGCCTGTTTACCCCTTCCCTCCACCCACCTCCCCTGTGGTGACCATCGGTGTGTTTTCTATAGTTAACAGTGTTTCTAGGCTTGCCTCTTTTTGTTTTTTCCTTTGCTCATCTGTTTCATTTCTTAAATTCCACATATGAGTAAAATTGTGTGCTGTTTGTCTTTCTCTGACTGGCTTATTTCACTTAGCATGATTCTCTCTAGCTCCATCAATGTTGTAAATGGCAAGGGTTCATTCTTTTTCGATGGCCAAATAATATTCCATGGGTGTGTGCGTGTGGGTATGTGCGTGTGCACACACTACATCTTTATCCATTTATCAGTCCATGGACACTTGGGCTGCTGCTGTCTTGTGGCCGTTGTGACAACACTGCTGTCAATGTTGGGGTGCTTGGATCCCTTTGACTTAGTGTTTTCATATTTTCTGGGGAAATACTCAGCCGTGCAATTACTGGATCCTAGAGTAGTTCTGTGTTTAGCTTTTCGAGGACCCTCCATGCTGTTTTCCAGAGTGCAGCCACTCTGGAAAACAGCATGGAGGGTCCTCGAAAAGCTTGCCTCAGTTTGCCTTCCCACCGAGAATGCACAAGGGCTCCCTTTTCTCCACATCCTGGCCAACACTTGTTCACTGTGGATTTTTTTTTAAATAGTCTCTGCACCCAGTGTGGGGCTTGAACTTACAACCCTGAGATTAAGAGTCACATGCTGGGGCGCCTGGGTGGCTCTGGGTTGAAGCCTCTGCCTTCGGCTCAGGTCATGATCCCAGGGTCCTGGGATCGAGCCCCGCATCGGGCTCTCTGCTCTGCGGGGAGCCTGCTTCCTCCTCTCTCTCTGCCCGCCTCTCTTGTGATCTCTGCCTACTTGTGATCTCTGTCTGTCGAATAAATAAATAAAATCTCTTAAAAAAAAAAAAGAGTCACATGCTCTGCCGACTGAGGTAGCCAGGCCTCCCTGTCTTGTGTTGTTGAGTTTAGCTGTGCTGACTGGTGTGAGACGGCATCTCATTGTGGTTTTGGTCTGCATCTCCCTGATGATCGGTGACGCTGAGCATGTTGTCACGTGTCTGTTGGCCATCTGGATGTCCTCTTTGGAGAAATGTCTGTTATGTCTTCTGCTTGTTTTTTAATTGTATTATTTGTTTTTGGGGTGTTGAGTCGTATAAGAAATTCTTTACGGGCGCCTGGGTGGCTCAGTGGGTTAAGCCACTGCCTTCGGCTCAGGTCATGATCTCAGGGTCCTGGGATCGAGCCCCACATCGGGCTCTCTGCTCGGCAGGGAGCCTGCTTCCTCCTCTCTCTCTGCCTGCCTCTCTGCCTGCTTGTGATCTCTCTCTGTCAAATAAATAAATAAAATCTTTAAAAAAAATGATAAAAAAAAAGAAATTCTTTACATATTTTGCAAATACCTTCTCCCATTCCATAGGTTGCCTTTTAACTTTGTTGATTGTTTCCTTCACTGTGCAGAAGCTTTTTATTTTGATGTAGTCCCAATAGTTTACTTTTGTTTTAATTTCCCTCGCCTCAGGAGATGTATCTAGGAAAATGTTGCTACGGCCAGCGACAGAGACATTATTGCCTGTTGATTAAGCACAATTCATTGAGTTTCTTCTTCTTTTTTTTTTTAAAGATTTATTTATTTATTTATTTGACAGAGAGAGAGATGACAAGTAGGCAGAGAGGCAGACAGAGAGAGGGGGAAGCAGGCTCTCCACTGAGCAGAGAGCCCAATGTAGGGCTTGATCCCAGGACCCTGAGATCATGAACTGAGCCGAAGGCAGAGGCTTAACCCACTGAGCCACCCAGGTGCCCCGAGTTTCTTCTTTTTTTATACATATGTTGACTTTTTTCATTGACTGATTGTTACCATGTCAAAGATGGTGTTCCAGTATCATTTATTGACAGGACAATCTCTTCTTCATTGAATTGCCTTTGCCCTTTCGTGAACCATCATTTGGGTATATTTCGGTAGCGTTTGTATTTTGATCCACTGATCTGTGTGTCTGTCATTTTGTCTATACCACGGTCTTGATGACTGAAGCTTTATAGTAAATTAGAAGCATATTTTCTTCAATCTCATTCTTAGTTTAAAAACTTTTTGGTTGTTATTCTGCCCCCTTTGCCTTTCCTTTTATTTTTTTATAAGATTTTATTTATTTGACAGCTGGGAGCCTGATGCGGGGCTCAATCCCAGGACCCAGGGATCATGACTTGAGCTGAAGGCAGACGCTTAACTGACTGAGTCCCCCCCGCCCCTGCCTTTGCCTTTCAATATAAATTTTGGAATAAGCTTTTCATTATCTAACAAAATATCCTGATGTGATTTTGACTGGAATTGTGTTAAATCTATGAATAAACTTGAGGAGAACTGACACATTTACTCTAAGCTGATCTTCTAATTCATGAACATAGTGTGTCTTCATTTATTCAGATTTTCTTTATTTCTTTCCTCAGAATGTTATAATTTTAACGTATAGATGTTATCATGTTTTATTAGATTTCTACCTGTATATTTCACCTTTTGGAGCTATTGTAAATGGCATTTTTGTAATTTCAGCTCTCAGTTGTCCATTGGCAGTATATACAAATACGATTGTTTGTGGTGTGTTGGCCTTGAGTCCTGCAACTTTGCCATATTCCCTTATTAGATATGGGAGGTTTATTTTCTTTACATTCCCTGGGGTTTTCTGTTTACATGATCATCTCGTCTGTAAATACAGTGTTTTATTCCTTCCTTTTCCGTTTCTGTGCTCCTTAATTCTTTCACTTGCTTTATCACTAGCCTGACGACTTGAGTGCAGTGTTGCATACATGCAGTGAGAAGAATCTCTTTGTCTCCCTTTCATTCAATCTACTATTGAGTATTCATTGATATGATCATTTCGTTTTCTTCTTTAGACTGTAAATATTGTGGACTATCCTGGTTTATTTTTGAATATCGAGTCAGTCATGAACTCCCCGAATAAAACCCATTTGGTCATGGTGTAGTATTCATTTTACGTATTGCTGGATTTGATTCGCTAACATTTTGTTGAGGATACTGTATCCATGGTCACAATGGGTATCGATCTGCAGGTTTTTCATAGTGTCTTTGCCTTGTTTTGTTATCAAGGTAATGTTGGGATCCTCAGGAAGTGTTCTCTCCTCCTCTATTTTCTGGAACAGATTGTGTAGAATTAGTGTTATTTATTCTTTAAGTTTTTTGGTAAATTTATCAGTGAAACATGTGGGTGACTTCAATTTCTTTAATAGTTGAAGGACCATTAACATGATCTATGAAATCTTGGGTAAATTTTGGTTACTTGTCAGAAGCTTTATACTTGTACATTTCATAATTAGGTCTGCAGTGCACCTGGAATTAACTTCTGTGTATGATTGCAGGTGGGAATCAAGTTTCATTTTCCCTCGATATGTTTCTCTAATTGATCTATCACCATTTATTTTAAATTACTATGATTTGCCACTTCTGCAGCACCATCTTTGCCATAAATCAAGCCTTCTTCTGGTCTCTCAGATCTGTTCCATCGGTCTACCTGTCTGTCTTTGGACACTAGCACACCGTGCTGGTTACTGCAGCTTGATAAGTCTCGATATCGAGGAAAGTAAGTCCTGCTTGTTGATCTTCCTCAAGGTTTCTTTGGCTATTTTTGGTCCTTTCTTTTCCCATACAGTTTTAGAAACAATTCCTCAGATTCTACCAAAAATGAAATACTGTTCTTTGCAGGAAGAGGGGTCAAAATTATTTAATCCAACATGAGAAGTAGAACTTGGTGAGCTCATTTGCTAGAGCATGCAGCTCTAGATCTTGGGGTTGTGAGTTTGAGCCCCACGTAAGGTGTAAAGATTACCTAAAAATACAATCTTAAAAAAAAAGGAAGTGGAGCTACATTTGTTCTATTTTTTTTTTAATTTGATAGGGCACTTCTGTAGACAAGCTACCATGAAAACCACATACCACCACATAAAATATCTTAAAATGATAGAGAATATATTTTTTGATGTTTTTTATTTATTTATAAACATATAATATATTTTTATCCCCAGGGGTACAGGTCTGTGAATCGCCAGATTTACACACTTCACAGCACTCACCTTAGCACATACCCTCCCCAATGTCCATAACCCCAACCCCCTCTCCCAACCCCCCTCCCCCCAGCAACCCTCAGTTTGTTTTGTGAGATTAAGAGTCACTTATGGTTTGTCTCCTTCCTCATATCAGGGAGATCATGAGATATAGTTGTCTTTCGATAGAGAATATATTTTTTAAAAACAAAACTCAACTGACAAGAAAGGAAGGGGAATCTCTGGGACCAAAAAATGCCAAGGAATTACAAATCCTGAGAATTGATACAAATTACAAACAATAGAATCAAATATAGAAGTAAGCCATTATTGGAAATAATTGGATTTTGAATATAAAATAATTATATTTGATATATTTAAAGAAATAAGATGAGTTGAAAGTTAGACTAACAACATGCCAGTAAAATATGACCAGGGGCACCTGGGTGGCTGGTCGTCGGGCAACTGCCTTCAGCTCAGGTCATGATCCCGGCATCCTGGGATTGAGCCCCATGCCCCCTTTTAAAAATTTGACCAGGCAAATTAGAAAAGACGATTTAGAACGAATAGAAACAAAAATTGGGATGAAATTAGAAACTCGGTGGGGGCTCCTGGGTGGCTCAGTCTGTTAAGCCTCTGCCTTCTGTGCAGGTCGTGATCTCAGGGTTCCTGTACTGAGCTGGGCATTGGCTCCCTGCTCTGCGGGGAGTGTGCTGCTCCCTCTGCCGTTACCCCTGCTTGCGTACTCTCTTTCTGTCAAATAAATATTTTTAAAAAGAAAAGACTAAAATTGAACATAATTAATCAAGAAAAAGCAATGGATACAAATAAACAATATTAAAAATGTAAAGGAGGTAATAATTGCAAATATGCCAGAGATTGATGACATAAAAGAATATTATGAATTTGACAACTTTGGTGAAAATAAGCAAATTATCAGAAAATATCCAAAAACATGTTCAAGTGGAAATAGGAACCTGAGTGATCTCAGTAGGGACAACTGCAAAGGGTCATGAGCCCCAAATGACTGTGCAGACACTTTCTACCAAACGGAAGAGATCATTACAATCTTATACAAATGCCTCCAGGGAATGAAAAAAAATTACCCACCTTATTTTATAAGGCTAAAGTAACTTGATACAAATAGCGATAACATAGGTACAAAATTACAGACCAATTTTACTTACTGACGTACATTAAAATATCCTAAAAAAAAGTATATTTCCAATCAAATTTTGTACACAAATGTTCATAGCAGCACTTTTTTTGACAGATAGCACAAGTAGGCACAGTGGCAGCAGAGGCAGAGGGAGAAGCAGTCTCTCCCCTGAGCAGGGAGCCCGACGTGGGGCTCAATCCCAGAACCCTGGGATCATGACCTGAACCAAAGGCAATCGCGCAACGTACTGAGCCACCCAGGCGCCCCAGCAGCACTTTCTTAAGAGCCCAAAAGTGAAAATAGCCCAAATGTTCTTCAGTTGTTAACTCAGTAAATAAAACATGGCCTAGCCACCAAATGGAACGCTATGCAATCGTACAATGAAACAACACTGGTGAATCTTGTAAACAGTATGCGGAGTAAAAGAAGCCAGTTATCTCAAAAGACACGTACTATATGACTGCACTGGTATGAAATGTCTGGAATAGCAAGTCTGTAGAGACAGAAATAGATTAGTGGTGGTTGCCTAGAGCTTGGGGAGATGGTGAGACTGTGGATGACAGTTAAGGGGTGCAGATTTCTTTTGGGGTGATGAAAATGTCCTAAAATTAACTGAGACAGTGATTGCACAAATATGGACACATGCTGAGCCCTGCAGCATTGTCTGCTTTAAATGGGAGTATTGTGTGGTCTGGAATTATGGCTCGATGAAGTTGTTAGAAAAGAAACCTTACAGAAAATTTTAGCAAAATAAATCCAGCACTATGAAAAGCTGAGAATATACACAAACAAGTTGAATTTATCCCAGGTATACAAAGTGGATTTAACATTCCAGAATCTGTTCATGGACATCTCCGTAAAGATGGCAGATCCACCTCAGGCTTCTGTTTTCCATCCATCCCAAAAGAGCCTCTAAAATTTCAGTACAGGGATTTGGTGAAGGCATAAACCCATAAGGGTATAGAGAATTGGAGAAGGTAATAGGAGTGACATTGGAAACTGGAAAGCAGATGGGTGTGTGGTAACTGACTTATCAGACCTAAGAAAGTTAAATCCTAAATATGCGGGGGGATCAGGGAGAGGCAGAATATACTACAGAGTACCTAAAAGGTTCAGGAATTGTCCGTGATGCATGGTTCTGGAAGTAGGGCTGAAGGGAAAGGAAAAGAAGGGCTAGTGGTCCAAAGCTCACCTAAGCAGCAGGTAAATCTTGCAGTGCCTCTCCCTCACTGCGTGGAGGTGGGCCACTAGGACCTCCCATCTCTACAGAAAAGTTGAAGTGTAGTCTCTAGAGAGAGTAAAACAAGGGCTCTCTGAACTGGCGGGGAGAGACATTAGACCCGTTTGACCAAGAATACTAAATACTAAACACGAGGTGATTAGGTAAATATGAGAACCACTGCTGAACCTTTTCCCTAGCCCCTCTTTTCCACAGTGTTGACAATCAGACCTCTGTAACCGAGTCCTGGAGATTGGAAGATAGTGCTGTGGGCTATTTGAGCAGCCCAAGGAAGACCGAGGTCTTGACACTGAGGGTTTACCAAAGAAAAGCATCCAGTAGGATCACCCTGCAGTGAACCCCACAGTGGACAAGCACCACCAATGTACTCAAAGCTTCCAGTCGACTTTTGGGGCTTTGACTCTTACATACGAGCAGACAGCCAATGTCCTCATCAGACCTTTCAGGAAAGCTCTGGCACGAAGGGTAGAGACCAAAACAGATGAGAGGAAACAAAAACTATGCCAGAAGGGGAAACTTTTTTCATAATCTCTTACTACCTTTTTTTTTAAGTTTTAATTTTAATTCCGGTTAGTTAACATACAGTGTTATATTTGTTTCTGGAGTACCGTGGGCTTCCCTATGTTCATCGCGACAAGGGCCCTCCTCAGTATTCTCTGAGAGATGAGCTGTCACGACTCTGAATTAAAAGACTCTATTAAGTCAATCAAGCACATTAATATATTAAAGGAGAAAATGATGTGATTATCTCATTAGATGCAGAGCAAGTATTTGATAGAACTCAACATTTGTTCACATACGAGAACGCAACACGTGACTAGAGTTCATGTCGCAGAAGACAGGGTGGCTATCCCTGTGGGGTAAAAACAACAAAAAAAGGAATGGATTGTATCCCTTTTTCACCACCGTAGGTTAAAATAAGCTCAGGCTAGATTATTACTTAAATGTGAAGGGCAAAACTTTATCATTCTAGGAGAAAATATGGGGCAACAAGTTATGACTTCACCATAGGAAGGGTTCCTTAAAATACAAAAACAAGCCACTCAGGAAAATATTACATTTAAAGTGGGAATGACTCTTCATTTAGAAAATACCATAGGGGCACCTGGGGGGCTCAGTTGATGAACCGTCTGCCTTCGGCTCAGGTCATGATCCCGGGGTCCTGGGATCGAGTCCCGTGTCGGGCTCCCCACTTGGTCGGGGGTCTGCTTCTCCCTCTGCCTCTGTGGGTCCCCTTGCTTATCCTCCCCCTCTCTGTCTCTGTCAAATAAATAGATAAAATCTCTTTTGAAAAAGGAGAGAGACTGCCATAAAAAGAAAGAACAACTATAGACCAGGGAACGATTGCTGTCCAGGATATATGAGGAAGTACTGAGGAAAATTAGAAAAAAAAAGCAGGGACTTCGCAAAACAAAAGCAAACCTGAACAGACAATTCACAGCAGAGAGAAAAATCGATGGTCCTTGAACATATGAAAAGGTGACCAATTAAGTGTCGAGGGCACGGAAGAGCAGAGCACAGGAAGATGCCATTTCCCCCAAATGTGGTGGGGAAACTAGAAACGCTGATCTTCCCACGCAGGTTAGGGTAAAGGATGGAGAGCAGAAAGCTTGGAGCCTCCCGCCGAGTGTGTCGGGATGGTAACGTCACCAGTACCTCATCCGGTGGGCCAGGCCTGCCGTTCCGGGGCCCACAGCCTAGAAACTCCTCGGGGGATGGCTGTGCCTCAGCAGGGGCGAGTCTAGGACAACACAGGGAGTCCCCCAAAATATGTACTATGTGTTTGTGTTGGTAAAAGTTTAAAACAGGCAAAACTGAGGTGTATGATTTAAGGGTACTAACATGCTGTCAAAACTGTATTCAAAAACAGTGGTCAGTGCCAAGGTCAACACAGTGTGTAGTCTCTTGTGAGGAAAAGGAGGTTGTAGAAGAGGAACAGGGGCTCCTGAGGCTGAGTGTTGAGTGCATGGGTGTGTCGCCCATGTCACACTGCTGGCGTTGTGTAAAGTGTCTTTGAGTGCACTGGCGGCGCCTTTACTGGAACTTGAATAAACGTGATCGATCTTTTGCAGATCGGTCTCTGAGGTGTCCTTGGCCTGTCCTATTCTTACAGCAGTTTTCTAATGGCTTGGTGTGAAAGCTGGATTGTCGACATTGTGTCTCATGCCCCTGTCACTCAGACGGGGGCCGCTCTGGGTGGCCGCGTCAGCTGCGCTGCAGGGGGCCGGGGCGCAGGTATAGACAAGACTCGCCTCGTTCCCTCGGGCAGCCCGGCCAGACGCCCTTAACCTGAGTCCTGTGCTGTTGGTTTCTAGAATCACAGAGCGGCACACTCACTGAGCGGCGGCGCCCTGACGTGGGCGAGGAAATCCAGCCTGGATTATCTGGCTCTGGACTTCAACTCGGCATCGCCGGCGCCTGCCCAGCAGGTAGGAGCGCCCGGGGCTGAGAGCCGCCCGTGGACACCCTTCCCTTCCAAGCTCCCCGGGGCGTCAGCTGTGCGTCTTCTCAGAGGGTCCCGGGAAGCATCTGCTTGGGCGGGAGGAATGGAGTGGTTTGGCTAGACCCTGGGGGGTGACAAGACTCTCCGATGGCAACGGGACCCGCCGGCAAAGGGCCTCACATGGCTGGTTTCGGCCGCTGATGCAGAACCGCAGTCTGTACAGCGCAGCTCGGAACCGTCGAGGCCCGTCGTGAGGGTGAGTTAGCAGCCGCGGGGGCGTGAAGGAACGAAAGACGTGCCTCGCGACGTGCATTGTTTGATGAGAAAAGCAGTTTAGCTGAGCAGTACATGCAGTACGAGTCCAGTGTGTGTGTGCACGTGCATGTGTGTGTGCGGGTGCGTGCATGTGTGTGCATGCACGCGCTCACGCAGGGAAACAAATCTGGAAGATCTCCCTTTTGCCAAATGAACTCCCGCTTCTCCTTTACCTTCAGTTTTGTTCCCAAAGCCTGAACTGGGATTCCAGAAAAGCCGGTCAGAAGGGGGAGACCAGCAAGTACAGAAGAGCGCCGCGGTCGGTGCTGGCAGGCCCTGCAGTCACTGCAGACAGACGAGCCCCACAGCTTAGTGGCTCACGGTGGCAAAGGCCTCTGTCGCTGTCGCTCATGGCCCGGGCCGTCTTCCATACAGGGCCTAGGAGAAGCCGCCGCTGGATAGGGCTCCTGCCGGGTATCGTGCGCGTCCGGTCAGCCCGTGTTGCCGGCGCTCAGCGTGTGGTGGGCAGAGCCGGCCGGCCGCAGCGAGGTCCTGGGAGCCTGGGAGCAGAGGCGTTGCAGGGTCCCCAAGTGCAAGGCCTGCACAGGACGCGGCGCGGGAGGAAGGGGCGGCAGCATTTCGGGGCGCTGTGATATACACCAGAGGCCTGGCATTTGCCTGATTTGTTTTCAATGCACATAATGAAAACCTTTCTGTTCCCCCCTCCAGAAGCTTCTTGTCTCGGAAGAGCACAGGGTCGACTACGTGCAGGTGGACGAGCGGAAGACCCAGGCCCTCCGGAGCACGAGGCAGGAGTGGACGGACGAGCGGCAGTCCAAAGTGTGAGGCACAGGCTGGGCCGTGAGCGGGCGGGCAAGCTCAGCGCGGGCGCGGAGCTGCTTTGCCAGAATTGCAGCGATGGGTGAAGCCAGTCAAGAGCCAGAGAGAAGCTGTGATTGCCGTGAGCTTGCCAAGAAGCTTTGGGAGAGAGGATAGATTTGTACCCACCAAAGGGGGACAAGGGGGTAATCTTCCAGCACCCACGCCTATCCCTGCCCATCCAGGCGGTGGCCTTCCCCGGCTACGCTGGCCCGCGGCCTCTGGGATGCCTGCAGATGTAAGACGCAGCGATAGAAGATTCCAGAGCCGTGGACTATAATGCAGAGAATTCCAGGCAGGGTAGGAACGATCAAAAACAAGGCTTGGGAGCGTATTTTCCGCAGAGTTTGGTTCAGAATCTCTCTGGCGGAGCACTTGGAGGGCAGATCAGAGCCATTATTGGAACCAGACAGGATGACTTGACCCTCAGGTTTGAAAACTCTGACCCCTCTTCTGTGCTTCCCGTCCCAGCCCCCGAAGACCCAGCTGGGGGGATGAAACTAAGAGGTGGTGGCAGCATCTGCACTCCTCACAGATAATCATTCCTGTCCCCAGAGAAAGGGAGTTCGAGTGATGGGGGCGGTCAGCCCCGGGGCCCCAGGGGGAGCATGTCAGACGACACTGGCTAGCTGGCTCTGCCATGGCTGCTGGCCTTCCTGAAGGGCACATCTTCACACGCATCATCTCACCTCTTTCCTCAAACACCTC